TAGAGTTCAGAGCTGCCATGAGTTGCAGGCAACTTGATGGCTGATAACTATATATATATATATATAAAATTTTAATTATCCCAACTAATATTGTGAAGAGGGTAAACCACATATTAGCTGAAACCTGGTTTGGTTTGTGTATTATTAAAGGAATTTACTTGGAATGTTAACGAGTCCAAGAAGAATTATTTTTATAAAGTCATTTTGATATGGTCAAGAGAAGAATCTGTAATTTTAGACAAGCTAGGAAAATACAGAAAGGAAGAAAACATCACCAAAACCAAACCAAACCAAACCAAAATTCCATAACTTTGGCAATCACAGTTGTGACTACTCTCATATTTGTTTCCCTTTTTTATTAAAGAAATATTACAATAACAACCCTCTTTAAACCTTTCCCAATTCCCAAAAGGCAAGTAAAGTCATATATAACTTGTCTGCTGTGGGTAAGAGTTTCCAATGAAATTATGATTTCTTATCAGAGTGTTTTATAAATGTGCAACTTTTTCACAAGGCTTTTCTACAGTCACTGTTGTATACTCTAGGACAAATTATGCAATGTATAATGAATTAATTTATTCTGAAAAGCCTTTCCACATTTACATTAGACACAGGATTATTAACAATTATGAATTCTCTGGTGACTAACAAAGTATGACTGCACTCAATGTATCTTTTGTATTTCAATAAGATATATACTGTGACCCATCCCCTTATGAATATGAATTTTAGATATTAGATATGAAAACTAATGTAATATTCTATCATGGAGATAATAACATCTTATTGTTATATTTACTTATTAATAGACATTTATATCCAATATAGGACAAATACAAACTATATGGCACTAAACATAGTCATGTATAGCTTTTTATGTATATATGTTAATCTCTCAAAGGACAACACACAAAAAGTTAATTTTTCCATGTTTATGTGTTTTAAAAGGAATTTTGTTACTCTAAGAGATATTTTCATCAAAGCACTAGAGTTTTGATATTTTTATTTTCTAGTCTTTAATTTTAAATTTTGTTTTTATGTAACAGAAGCTCTAACAAATCTTCCATTTATTTAATAAGCATTATTTCCTCCAATGGTTCTAACATTATCACACCCAAAACTCCTTTCTCTCAATTTGTACATATGAATTGTCAGTTTGTTCCCACTGATTAATTTACTTATTATCAATGACATATTTTTAAAAGTTTGGTTCCATTTTAAAGTATGTGCTGATATTTAGTACAGCATCTCTTCTCTGCTTTTAAAATTTTGTTTTAGGTATTTTTTTGCCTTTTACCTCTGTCAGTTTGAGGACTAAGGTGCACCTGATGCAGTCCATTGGCTTTTTAATTCATTTGCTATGCTGCTGACGGCTGGACAGAATTATTGATGTTTTTAAGCTGTGGTGCTGAAGAAGAGCTGAATGGACTGCCAAAAGGACAAACAGGTAAGTCTTGAAGAAGGTGAAGCCAGAGTGCTCTGTGGAGGCAAAAATAACAAAGCTTCTTCTCACATACTCTGGACATATTTCTAGGAGAAGCTATTCATTAGAGAGGGACATCATGCTTCGAAAGGTGGAGGATTGGTGAAAGAGAGGAAGACTCTCAACCAGGTGGACTGACACAGTGACTGCAGAAATGGGCTCGAGTGTGTCTTGGATTTTAAGTATAGCAAAGGCTACGACAGGGTTCAGATCTGTTTTTCATCGGGTCACTATGAGTCATACTCAATTGGATGTCAGTGAACAACAACCACCAATTCTCCACAATCTTAATGAGTTTGTAAAATTCTGTTAAAAGAGAATCTAGCAAGCATATTTTTACAGTATCAAGTCTTTATACTTTATCTCTATTTTTCAGATTTTTTTTGTCTGCCAACTTTAAAAAATTTTTTTTCCTGCCAACGTTTTATAACTTCATACAGAAATGTCTTCTAATCCATTCTTGTCTTTATTAGATGTATCGTTCTTTATTACAGAACAACAACATTATATATAGGCTATTTACAGTTTCCCCTTTTTTCCTAATATTTTTCTTGCTCAAGTATTTTTTTTAAAAAAAAATTCCTTCATTGGTATACAATTCCCCCATCCTTTCCTCCCTGCTCAAGTATTCTTAAAAGTGGCATTGACAGCAGTTATTTTTCTTTGCTTTAGATGAGAATGCTGATTAAAAATGCTCAATACGTATGCTGTATTTGATGACCAATTTTTTTTTCAGTATAACAAAGTCTATCCATGATAGGAATTATTTTATAAATCTATACCTTTTTTCATAAGATTTTATTACATTCATTGTTTCATACTCTAGAATCAATAAATTACTTCTGAAAGACTTCCCAAATTTATGATTATCAGAGTTGCTAATGAGTATGAATTTTCTGATGCCTAACAAGGTGTGACTTTTGGCTAAAAGCTTTGCCACACTTGTTACAATGATAAGGCTTCTCACCTGTATGTTTTCTCATATGTAGAGTAAGAGAAGATATTTGAGAGAATGCTTTTTCACATTTACTACAGTCAAAGGGTTTCTCACCTGTATGCCCTCGTATATGTATAGTAAGGGTTGAACTCTGAGAGAAGGCTTTGCCACATTTGTTACATTCATAAGGTTTCTCACCTGTGTGACCTCTCATATGCACTATAAGGGAAGTTCTTTGAGAAAAGGCTTTTCCACATTCATCACATATATAAGGCTTCTCACCTGTATGACTTCTCATATGTAAATTAAGCAGGGAACACTGAGAGAAGGCTTTCCCACATTTATCACATTCATAGGGCTTCTCCCCTGTGTGACTTCTCAGATGAAGAGTAAGGGATGCAATCTGAGAAAAGGCTTTACCACATTTATTACAATCATAAGGTTTCTCTCCAGTGTGAACTTTCTGATGTGTGATGAAGTTTTGCTTTTGGCTAAAAGCTTTTCCACATTCATTGCATCCATAGGGTTTTTCTCCAGAGTGGATTTTCTCATGAGCAATTAGATTTGATTTCTGGCTAAAGGCTTTGCTACATTCTTTACATATATAGGGTTTTTCTCCAGTATGGATTCTCTGGTGTCTAACGAGATTTGACATTTGAATGAAGGCTTTCCCACATTCATTACATTCATAAGGTTTCTCTCTGGTATGAATTTTCTGGTGTGTAATAAAGTTTTTCTTGTGGCTGAAGGCTTTTCTACATTCCTTACATTCATAGGGTTTCTCACCAGTGTGACTTCTCATATGCACAGTAAGGGATGAACTTTGAGAAAAGGCTTTCCCACACTCATTACATTCATAGGGTTTCTCACCTGTATGAATTCTTACATGTATAATAAGCATTGAAAATTGAGAAAAGGATTTTCCACATCTATCACACTTGTAAGGTTTTTCTCCTGTATGAACTTCTCATATGAAGAGCTAGGGATGCAATTCGAGGGAAAGCTTTATCACACTCATTACAAGCATAAGGTTTCTCTCCTGTATGTATTTTCTGGTGTGCAAAGAGGCTTTGCTTCTGGCTGAATGATTTTCCACATTCATTAGGCTTCTCTTCAGTATGAATATTTTTATGATCAATGAGATTTGATTTCTGGCTGAAGGATTTCCCACATTCCTTACATACATAGGGTTTTTCCTCAGTATGAGTTCTTTGATGTCTAATGAGATTTGACATTTTAATAAAAACTTTTCTGCACTCATTACATTCATAAGATTGATCTCTACTGTGGATTTTATCATGTTTAATGAGTTTTTCCTGGTTGCTGAAGGCTTTTTTGCACTTGGTACACTCATAGGGTTTGTTTCCAGTATGAATTCTTAGGTGTCTGATGAGGTCCAATGTCTGTTTGAAGCCTTTCCCACAATGACTACACTTAAAAGGGGTTACTAAAAGATAGGATGAGCTATTGCACAATGTTTTTATGGGATCATTATATTCAGAATGTTATTTTGTTATAAATCTTCTCTTATGACAATGTAAATTCTGTTGTGAACATTTTCCAAACAAATCATGTTCATAGAGACTTAATTTGAAAGGAACAAAGTCTGAATTCAGAGGCTGTATATTTGAAAATTTCCTATGTCATTCACTGACCATTTTCTCTGTCACTGCTTTGTCATCACTGTAATCTTCAGCTTGCCTCAAAACTATGTCCTGGTTTTTCTGGTGCTCAATTCCCCAGACTTGTCCTGAAATAGATTGTAAATAAATATCATTTGTTAATTTTTCAATATTACATCAAGAAAATTTTTAAACTACTATTACTATTGGGATTTATAGTTGATTGTAGGCCAATTCTTGCTGTCAGTGCCCCTGGTAGTGAAGTAATCAAGCATTTGGCTGCTGTAAATAAAAGTTTGACCTTACTAGCTGCTCCATGATAAAAAGATGACAGTTTTCATCCATAAAGATTGCACTTTTGGAAGTCTTTACTTATGGAAGTTCCTGTCATATGTGGTCACTGTAAGTTTAAACAGACTCAATAGCAATGGGAATTCATTGTTCCTGTTGTGTGCTTTGAGGTTGTCTCGCCTACACAAACATCAACTTTTCAGTCAGCAGCCAACTGCTTAACCATTACAACAGTAAAGCTGTTTATGTTTTATGCTTAATCTCACATTATTAAATTCTGAAGACATATATATATCCTATATGGTAAAATTTCAGAAGGAAAATCCAGGAACTATAACAAGAAGCAAATATTTATAACACACACACTGACAGATAAGTAAGGGAGGTCTGGTGGCACAGCCCATAGCGAATTGAATTGATAACCCAAAGGTAAGATCTCTGGCTGTCTAAATCCACCAGTGGCTCAATGGAAAATAAAGACGGGCAATTTCTTCCCATGTTATTTGCAGCATCCAAAAACTCAATGGAAGTCCAACCTATGAGTTAGTTCTGACTTGACAGCAGTTTTATAGATTATTAACACTAAGAATATAAAATGCACAAAGGAAAAATAAATCATAGAAAAAATAAAACAAGTGAAAAATATCCCAAGAGACCACTTTTTCAGGATCATGTGAAATAAATTTTTATAAACTGCTTGAGATTAGTTTCTAGAAATATAAATAACCAAAACTAATTCTAGAGGATATACAAAATCTATATAGAACAATGTCATTAAAATAAGGAAATCTGAAAGAAAAAAATTCTAAACAAAATAAAAGCATAAGGAAAACAGATTCTCATGAGATTTCTAACTAACAATTAAGTGACAACTACAATGCTATGTGAAATGTTTCAAAATAGAAAAGGTGGAAAAATTCTCAATTTTTTTTTGTGTGTAAAGCAGGCACAGTATCAACATGAAAACTTGACAAAGATAAAACAAAAAAGAAACTAAATAGCAACTTCACTTATTGATACAGTTGCAAAATATTTTGTGAAATATAAAAAAATTATCCAGAAATACTTAATATATAAAGAACATCATAGCTGAGTAGTTTTATTTAAGGATATGGCTCATGTGTGACCTTCCCTTGTGTGGGTTCTGGAACTTGGAGGCACCAACCCCAAGTTCTAAGGGCTCAAGCCTCTTGGGGGGCGGGGGGGGGGAAGTGTATGGTTCAATAATAAGAAATCTGTAAGATCAGTTGACCATAGCTGGATAAGTTGGTTTCTGGGTTCTCAATTCTATTCCATTGGTCTCTGTGTGTGTCACTGTTCCCATATTATGCTGTTTTGATTAATACGCTTGTATAGTGGGAGTAGAATGTGATGTCTCTTGCTATTTTTCCAGTAGAACTCTGCTTTCCTTTCCAAATAAAACTGGAAATTGCCTTTCTATTTTCTTGAAGAATGGCATTGGTATCTGTATTGGTATTACATTGCACTTGTAGATTGTTTTTGGCAGAAGTGTCATTTTCACAATATTGAGTCATCTAGGTCTCTTGTTATTCCTTGTACTATTATTTTGTAATTTTCTTTATATAGGTCTTTTGTGTCTCTAGTTAATTTATTACTAAGTATTTTATATTATGGTTGGCTACTGTAATTGCTGTTAGGGACCTCTCCAAAGTACTGAAGAGCAATGGTGTCTTTCTGGAGACTAAGGTGCATCTGATACAGGCCATGGTCTTTGCTATCACTTGTTACACATCAGAGAGTTGGACAACGACTAAGGAGGATAGAAGGAGAATTGATGCCTTTTGTGGTGCTGGAGAAGAGCATTGAGGGTACCATGGACTGCTAGGAAAACAAACAGATTCATCCTGGAAAGGGTTAAACCACGCGACTTCCTGGAGGCAAGGATTCTGAGGCTCTGTCTAACATACTTTGGACATGTTGTAAGGTGGGACCGGTCCTTGGAGAGGGACATCATACTTGGTAGGGTGGAGGGACAGTGCAGGAGGGAAAGGGACTCTATGAAGTGGATGGATTCAGTGACTGGGGTAATCGGGGTAGGTGTATCAGAGATGGTGCGATAGGCACAGGACAGAGCAGAGTTTAGGGCTGTTGTACATAGGGTCGCTATGAGTCGCAAGAGACTCGACGGCACATAACAACAACAACAACTGTAATTGATAGTGCTGTCTTCTTTTTCAGTGTTTATTTTTACTGTAGAGAAATTGGAGTGAGTTTTGTACATTGATTTTGTATCCTGCCACTCTGCTGAACTGGTTTGCTAGGTCAAACCATTTTCTTGCTGAGTCTTGAGTTTTCTATATACATAATCTGAAGCATCTACTGCAGGTGGTCAAGGACTCCAGCCTTCAATATACATTGAAGCTCAACATCAAGAAAAAAAGATTCTCACCACGGGGCCCATTGGCAGCATTATGATAGACAGTGAAGAGATTGAGATTGTTAATAGCTTTAATTTGCTTGGCTCCACAATGAACATTCTTGTTACCAGCATCCAGGAAATTAAAAGACAAATTGCATTGGGAAAGTCTGCTGTCTGAGACCTCTCGCAAGTACTGAAGAGCAACAATATCAGTCTAGAGACTCAGGTGTGCCTGATCCAGGCCATAGTCTTTGCAGTTACTTGCTATGCATTGGAGAGCTGGACAATGATAAGGGACAATAGAATTGATGCCTTGCAGCTGCGGTGCTAAAGAGTAATGAATATACATACCATGGACTGCTAAGAGAACAAATAGGTTTATCCAAGAGTGGGTGAAACCAGGCTGCTCCTTGGAGGCAAGGATTCTAAAGCTTTGTATGACCTCCTTTGGACATGTTACAAGGAGGGACCAGTCCTTGGAGAGGGATTCATGCTTGGGAGGGTTGAGAGATAGCACAAGAGAGGAAGACCTTTGATGAGATGTACTGACTCAGTGACAAGGGTAATGAGGGTAGTTGTGCCAGAGACAATAAGATTGGCACAAGGGTAGAGCAGGGTTTAGGGCTGTTATTCATAGAGTTGCTAAGAATCGCAGGCAAATCAACAGCACATAACAACAACATTATACATTATCTTATCATCTGCATATATAGTTTTACCTCCTCTTTGTCAATTTAGAAGCCTCTTATTTTACTTTATTGCCTAACTGCTCAAACTAGGACTTCCAAAACAATATTTCTCAAATTATTAATGTAAGTTTATTATATTTTTTAAATAAAAATTTTATTTTATACTGGTTTACTTAAAAAGTGTATATAAGACTGACATCAGGGTTAGGGTTGTTGTTGTTATGTGCCGTCGAGTCTCTTGCGACTCATAGCGACCCTATGTACAACAGCCCTAAACCCTGCTCTATCCTGTGCCAATCTCATTGCTTCTGACACATCCATCCCGATTACCCCAGTCACTGAATCAATCCACCTCATAGAGGGTCTT